AAAGCGCGTGATTACAGTACTAAGCCGCTGCAATGGAGCAGCTCTAATGCTATTAAATTAAAGATTATATTTTTTTACTAGTGGGTGCAGGACACTATAGTTCATTTATGTATGTGAGGATAGCAAAATAAAGTAAACTGTGACATACAGTATTATACCCCAAAATTCTTCATACAGTGGACTACCAGTAAAATTGATCAAAATTTGGGACCAAAAGTTATTCAGACACTTTGACCTGACCATGTTTTGCTTAAGTGTTTTTTTCTTTTCTTTAATTGCTATTGTGACCTTTTTACACCACAGACTGAACAAAATGAAGCATCGCTTGGTAATTGGTATTATCTAATTGTGTACTTAAATTTAACAGCTGACAGCTATTCAATTGAATTCATTAAATTCAAAAATCAAGATGAATTTGTTAGTTCTTGTCATATTTTATTACCATTTTCTAAACTATAGCGAATAAACTGTGGTAATGTGAGAAATGTTGAAGGTGCCTGAATAATTTTTGGTTTGACTGTATATACATATATATATACACACACACAATTTATTTTTATTTTTTTAATGTAAAAATCTATGACTATGTCATAATAAAACTGCTCCCCAAGTGCCTCCAGCGCCGTTCAAACAATCTAAACATGATCTGACACACAGAGATGAATCACTCCGCTAATGAACAGATGCGGTTCAGCTCAAGCCGAAAGGGGGCGCTGTTGAGTTTTGAACCCGCATGTCCGCTCGCATGTACGGGCTTCCCGACCACGTTTTGTGGGACAGTGGAGGGGGGAAAAAATCTAATAAATCTATATATTAACATTAAAACAACATAAAGACGCGTACTCTGTGGAAACCATATGGCCATTTTAATTGCTTTAGTAGTTACATCCGTCGCTAATATATGCGTCGTGCATTTTTTTCTATCCAGTATGCCTAAAAAATTACTAATAATAACCTATTATTAAACATTTTAGTAGGATGCCTCAACCGATAACGTAATTAATGCATTACTTGCGTGACATTTATAGACTTTCATAATGACTATAAATGATTTCTTTTAAGAAATGTCAATAATATCGTCCTTTAAACAAGCATTAATAGCTTAAGTGTAAATGATCTTTTTAAGGTTATTAATAGGCCTATATCATGTATAAATAATTATGATTGCATACTGTTAGAAAGCTTGATTTTAAACAATAGGCAGTGTGGGGAGAAAACACAATGAATGAAAAGATGCTTTACCTGCTTTAAACAGCAAAAACAAAATCGCTGTCCATAAAGAGTTAAAGTCGTCGTTTAGCTCTCTGTCAGTTCTGACAGTTCGGGAAACTTTTGTTTCTTCTCTAGTATGTAAATTGACCGTCGGATTCAGCGAGCCTATTGGCTACGAGTCCGAGTCAATTTCGTATTTCAAACCTGACGTCAGGGCGGCTATAAAACTCAGCATTGCTTTTATACTCCTATGCTCGGTGATCCTTTAAAAACTCTAGAACAAGCCCGGAGTACTTTTTTTTTTTCCAGCCAAGCATCCAATTGCCAATCACATACATGTTACGGTCTTCATTTCAACGAAACTATTGAAAAAAAAGGGCGCCACGCAGCCATGCAGTGTTAAATGTTTGCGACTCAAACGCGTCGACACTCGCGCACAAAGAGAGAGGAACTGGAGACGCGCGCGCTCCTGCGTCTGTTGCGCGAAAGGCGAAAAGGCGTCAATTTAAAATAAATAAATAAATCGGCGCCGGCGAACCCTTTTCTCCGCTTTTGAAGAATTAAATAAAGAATTCAAGCTGGCTCACGCTGTCTCGAACCCGACCACTTTGACAGCAGCTCTTCACCCCCTTTGGAGGACTGTCAACAGCAAAAGGATGGCATCAGAACTGGCAATGAGCAGCTCCGACCTGCCCACCAGTCCCCTGGCCATGGAATATGTTAATGACTTCGATCTGATGAAGTTTGAAGTGAAAAAGGAGCCGGTGGAGCCCGATCGCAGCATCAGCCAGTGCAGCCGCCTGATCGCCGGGGGATCCCTGTCTTCCACCCCGATGAGCACGCCTTGCAGCTCGGTTCCCCCTTCTCCAAGCTTCTCGGCGCCCAGTCCGGGCTCCGGGAGCGAACAGAAGGCGCACCTGGAGGATTTCTACTGGATGACCGGTTACCAACAGCAGCTCAACCCAGAGGCTTTGGGCTTCAGCCCCGAGGACGCGGTGGAGGCGCTGATCAACAGCAGTCACCAGCTCCAGAGCTTCGACGGCTATGCTAGAGGGCAGCAGTTCGCCAGCGCAGCCGGCGCGGGAGGCGCCATTGCCGGCGAGGAGATGGGATCCGCCGCCGCGGTGGTCTCCGCGGTCATCGCGGCCGCCGCAGCCCAGAACGGCGCGCCGCACCACCACCACCATCACCACCACCACCACCCGGGCGGGCACCATCCGACGCCTGGCGTGCAGTCCAGCGGCAACCCCGCCAGCCACCAGCACATGCACCTGGACCTGGACGATCGCTTCTCGGACGAGCAGCTGGTGTCCATGACCGTGCGCGAGCTCAACCGGCAGCTGCGGGGGGTCAGCAAAGAGGAGGTGATCCGGCTCAAACAGAAGAGGAGAACCCTCAAAAACAGAGGCTATGCCCAGTCGTGTCGCTACAAGCGGGTCCAGCAGAGGCACGTCCTGGAGGGCGAGAAGACCCATCTGCTGCAGCAGGTGGACCACCTCAAGCAGGAGATCTCCAGACTGGTGCGCGAGAGAGACGCGTACAAAGAGAAGTACGAGAAGCTCATCAGCAGCGGCTTCAGAGAAAATGGATCCAGCAGCGACAACAACCCGTCGTCCCCGGAGTTTTTCATGTGAGTTTACCGGCACTTAATAGAGCAGCGGTGTGCAAAAGTTGCGTACGCGCGTTGTTCCCGCGTTGTGTTGGATTGGGCAGTCCTCTCACTTTTGTTTTTTATTCTCTGTCAAATTTAGATCCGTTTAATCCCGTAATGAAGAAATCGATCTTTAGAGTTTAGCCCACGTTAACCTTTGCTCTGCGCTTTTGGACAACAATAAGACATTTTCCATCGCCGAGTTCTTTTCATTTTGTCTGTTCTGTTGCAACTGTAATATGTGAACGTGCTTTCATTTGATATTTCCCCATGTTGCCTCGTGTTGCGTAACTTTTAAGTTCACATTGTTGTAAAGTTCAAGTGACACATCACGCTGGTTTCGTGAGGGCACTGTACGCTGAAAGCGTGGAGAAGCGTTTGAACGCATTCCCCTCATAAATCGAGCGAGATTGACTTTGTGTTTCATTCAAACTCCATCACATTTTGTGTTGTTGTGAAGAACTCATTCAATGGTGTATTTATTTGTGTATCGGACGCGATATGTCGAGCCCACATGCTGGTCATGTTGGCAGCCGATGTTTTTTCTTTCTTTTACCTGAACGAACTGAACTGAAATGCTCCGACATTACATTCATTTTCTCATTGTCTGGTCCACTTTTTTGGGACTCTGAGCAAAAAAGTGACATCTTTTCATCCAATACATGAAACATTGCCTCCATGATTCTTGCGACAAACTCCTGTCATTTTCTGCACAACAATATTAGCGATGAAACATGTTTTGGCAAGAAGAGTGATTCTGTATGCTTATCCTTTTTTGTGGAACGAGGAGACATTATTAAACCCCTGAAACAATTGTAACTTATCTCAGTGTGATACACTTAAGACTGTGGAAGATTTGCATTTTGACAAACATGTCACTCCACATATTGCTTCACCATTAAATATGGTCAAACGAACGATTTCGGACTGTTCAATGGACTCAAAGTGTTTATAAATTATTCTCATTAAAGAGAAGGATATTGTATCAATGAAGAGTTTGTCTTAGCACGCGCTCGAAATGCTGCATTCAAAACTGTTATTTTAGGATTTGCATCTAAATATAAATCTAATTATTACATGAGAGAATATTGAACTATTTCGGAGCTCGCTGCTGTAAAACATTTACTTGCATCAGGTGGGAAATAAAACCTTTCAGAAAACGTATACTTGTGTAACATACATATTAGTACGTTTTGATATTTGATATCGATTAGGATTGACAAACAATGCCTGTACAAACTGGAGCAGCATATATAGTTCATCAATAAATGCTAAACATTTAAAACCAAACGTCCTCGTGTTATTTATTAGAGCACGCCTAAAATGTGAGACTCTCACTGAATACAGTATTTAATATTACATGCTGATTGGGAAATTAAATAGGTTATGATTTTTAATGTCTGAGGAAAGTTCACGATTTCACTTGTTGCCGCGTGACAGTTCACTCGAGTTTCACGAGATGAGCAAATATCCTCGTATTAAATCGGATTCGCTTTAAATTTAATTGAACTAAAGTAACATATGACAGATACAATTGTTTATATTTGAAAAAAAGCCAGCATAACTTGGTGTACAGCTACATTGTTTGATAAACATGACAAAATGCGCTCGCGAGTTTATATCAGAACATTTCAATAATTCACTAAAGACAGATTCGACATAATCTAAAAAAATAATTTACAAGCAAAAACCTATATTTAAATAGCACTCGATTTCAGGAGGGAAACCTTTTTTCCCCCCTTTCCCCTTTTTTTAACATTTATTTATGTAACTTGCTTCGCAAACAATGAAATCTCATTTGGTCCACCGCGCAGTTTAAACACATATCACACGACGACAGTTTAGTTTCGCTGCCCTGGTTAATCATTATTTTAGTGAGACTATATACTTGCTTAAACTGCAATTTAAATAAGTCGTATATTCCGCAAAAACTGTGATTTTGACAAACAGATTCGCCTCTAAATCACTGGAGCTTCACCTAAGTGCACCTAAAATGTACAGAAACGGTCAGTTCGATAAATTATTGTTTTCTTTGGTTAAGAATAACCTGACTGTGAGCTTACAGGCTATTAGCAATTAATAACCTTTATTTCTTTTCTACCAGTCACTCTTATAACTACCACTCAGGCCTATTAGTTAACTCAGAAATGTCATTAGCAGCTACTTTCACTTAGAGTTCACCAAAACAAATGAGTCGTGGTCTGTTTGTGTTTTATAAAGCACAAGACAAAATTCATAAGTTTATGATTTGACTTCGTCTGTACACCATAACCTGAACTGAAGATTTAAATAACAGTCTGTTTCTCAACGTCACAGCTCCTTTTTCTTTTCTCCAACCTTCTTTGACTTTTCAGCTTCTTTATCTCTTCAGGCCCATCATCCGTTCTCTCAAGCCATCACTATTATCAGCCCCAAAATAATTAGAAGAGTGAGTCAAGCTCTCATTGTCACAGCACACAGGATGTGGGCTCACAGCTGGAAAGAAAGTGAAAAGAAGTGTGTGTGTGGGACGTCTGTATTTAGGGCGTTGGGTGAAAACCTATAGTGGCTCATCAGCACAATGATGATTTGAATATCAGGCGGATGACGCACACAGCCTTAAATGCATGGCGTTCGGAGGAATTCATACGCTCGGCTGTGAGCTCAGGGGAAAGGCTGCATGGTCCACGCCGTGGAAAGCACAATGATTTCTTGCATGATTAATAGTGGAGAAAAGACCTTGTTTCTGCTCCTTTAAATTGATGAATCATTGGTGATTTTCCCCAGCTGGGCTTCGACTGCCTTTGAGTGGCTGCGGCGCATGTAATTTATGACTTTTCTGTTTGATGAGGTCAAAACGCAAAACTGGTTAATGATATCACTGTTATAACTCAGAACTGAAGATACACACTGTACCAGACAGCAGGTCTTTTTCTGTTCCAGCTGCTCGTTTATTTATTTTATATATATAATATATATATATATATATATATATAGTTCCAATAATAAAGTTGCATTATTAAAGTGTCAGATAAATTGTGATAATTGCCAGTCAATATAATTAATTTATTAATCAAATTTTTGGGGGGGAATATCAATTCAGTATGTCTCCTTTTTTCTATTTGATTTATACACATACACATATATTTATATAACACATATATATGTGTTTTGTTTATGCATTCATTCATTCATTCGCTTAGCAGAATATGACACTTTTGGTGTCTGCTTTAGAAAACTACAAAAATAGTTTGAAGCTTTAAAGTGTGAATATCATTTCAGTACGTTCGCTTTTAAATCACATGGATTTATTGGTGTAAATCAGACTAAATGCTAATCCCAGCTAATATTGTTGGTTACATTCATTACATTACATATATTACATATGGATACATTAATCCAACTATTTAAAACGTTCATGTAATCTTGCTTTTCCTAACTCAAACCAGTATTCCTAAACATTATGATGCACCGAAACACATCCTGTTTAGCAGCTTCTGATGACGGACCGCATTAGCATAGACGAAGCAAACATTTCATTTCGGCTTGTGAATGAAGTCAGTGGATTTCATTACACACACCATGTATATTTTCACACCTCGGCTCCATAACCGACATGCATCTAGCACAAATCGCCAAAACACACACACACAGGCCAATGCTTTCACACCAACCCGCACACACTCTGTGATTGCACTTAATTTAATCAGCAGCGGGATATTGACACCATATGTGCCCTAATCATTGGTTGCGCGCGATCCTGATTAGGTTATTACAGATAATATAGTTGTCTTCTGTCACAATATTGGACTTTTTGCATCCGAGGTCAACAATAGGAAATCACAGTTCAACTCATGCATATTGACATTTCAATCATTTACATACAGCAACGTTACAGGGTAATATCTTTAATCATATCAGACATTGTTTCTGCTGGGAGTCGATGTATAGCTTTTTTGTTTTTGTTTGAAGCACTCCGAGTGATTTTCTCACAGCGTGGATTAAAAAGGATTGTCGTGACGGCAAGGCCTCGCCGAACGCAGAGAAATATGCCAGTGCCAAGCTCGAGTCGATTGTGTTCACGCAATAATATGTGACCCTGGAGCACAAAAGCAGTCTTAAGTCGCTGGAGTTTTGTGGTGCAGGGTCACATTTGAGCAAATGCATTCTGGGAAACAAATTTGGAATAAAGTAATTATAGTTATCGCAACTAAAATTATAACTATATATATTTTTTTTTAATCAAGGCCATGTCTTATCCAACATATAATAAATGAATAGATAAATGTTTCTAGTAACACGTTCTCTGGTCTTTGGTGTCAAAGCATTGCAGGCGTTTTTCATTCTGAAGCACAGAAACAAGCTCGGCGGTGTTGCATCCGAGCTCATCTGCATCTCTCCACGCTAAACATTTCCATTTAGAGTGATTTAAAGGAGGGAGTTTATGTGCCTGCCATGTGCGTCCATCATCCCCCGACCCCGCTCTGCCTCTGTAAACCTGAGTTATAGAGCAGCTATTTGAAAAGATAATAATTTAACTTTCCCTCCACCGTTACACTGTGGAAATGGATGTGTTTGTGTTGATTGCCTGAGCTCTGAAGCTTTCCTTGTACTTTCGGAGAGAGCGAAAGAGACGCCACGCGTGATGCTGGAGTGTTTGTTTTTGAAAATCAGCCATGCGTTCGATCATCATGGGTGCGAGTTAAAGGGACAGTTCTTCAGAAACGGGGGGAAATATAACAAAACTCGTAATAAAATAAATGAATAATACACCTGTAATCTACTCACCCTCATGCCATTTGCTTTTTATGTATTTATTGTGAAACACAAAAGGAAATTTGAAAAGGAAAGATTTAGTAGAAGGTTCAAGCTGCTCTTTTACGTACAATGAAAGTGGATGGTGACTGCGTCTGTCAAGCTTCTATAATGCTGCATAAAAGTATCAAAATCATTTATTGTAGGCAATCCTGATTAGGTTATTACACATAATAATAATAATAATATAGTGTTTTTTTTGTAATAATATTGGTCATACGCATTGATCTTATTGTTGCGAGGTAAAAAAAAAAAGGAAATTATAATTCAAATCATGACATTTCAGCCATTTATACATACAGCACAGTTCCATTATTTTTCAGTTTCATTTATCTACTTATTTATTTAATTGCATAGTTTATTGGATTTATTTCCACATTTTTGATGAACTATCCCTTTTACTCACACCCATAATTATCTTATTTCTTTTTTGTTTATGTATTTACTTATTTAATTACTAAAATGTAGTTTCACACACACATACATATGTGTGTTTGTGTGTGTGTAATGCGTATGCATATATAGATATATATTAATTTTTATTTATATTTTTCATGAACTATCCTTTGTACTCACACCCATATTTATTTATTTATTTATTTATTCACTCATTTAATTAATTGTATAGTTTATTATATTTTTTCCCACATTTTTGATGAGCTATCCTTTCAATTGACACCCATAATGATCTACATATGCTGATTAATTAGCTCTAATTTGCTCTAATTTGTCTTATTGCTTCTTATACATTTCAGTCATTGACATACATTATCATTATTATTTTCTAATCATTTTTAACATTTTATTTATATATTAACTTATTTAATAATATAGCTTACTGTATTATATTTTCTCCCACATTTTTATGAATTCTCCCTTTAACTCACACCCGTAATTATCTAACAGATGCTGATTCAAACAGCCCATATGTTTTGTGCACTATTTCCCACGTCTTATAAAGCTAAATAGCTTTCTTTGAAAATCATGACAGAATTGTAATGTCTTCCTGAACTATCCCTTTAATTGCTAAAGTATGTTCGAGTTTAAGGAAGAGCCCGTAGACGAGTGTATATGTGTGTGTGTTGGTATTGTAGGCTTTGGCCTTGTGCCCATCTTGTGTTATACCTGCATCTC